AATGAGCTACAGGAGCTATGAATGAGCTACAGGTGCCATGAGTGAGCTACAGGAGCTATGAATGAGTTACAAGTGCTATGAATGAGCTACAGCTGCTATGACTGCTGTAGATGCTAACAATGCTGTTCGCGCTATCAATGAAAGACTGCTCCGGGTGCTCTGAAGCTTCGCGTGCTGTGCTCGCTGAAATCGCTGTGGCTCTGTGGCGATGTCGCTGCCGAGCGAAGGCCGACGGCTCGCGTCCCGGGGGGTGGGGGAGGGGTTAGAAGGGGGTGAAGGGGGGAGGGGGGTGAAGGGGGGAGGGGGGTGAAGGGAGGAGGGGGGTGAAGGAGAGGGGAGGGGGGTCGGGGTGGGCGAACACGTGGGCGAGTTTCAGCGCCGCTACTGAGTCACTGGGGGAAGGGAACGGTGGCGCACGAGTTAGCGCACTGCGCTACAGTCGTGTGAACCCGGCGACTCGGTTTTCGATTCCTGGCCACGGCGAACATCAGCGGCGAGTGAAACCTAAACCGGTCCCTCCTCCTCCCACCCCAGGACCGAAGTACGAACGAACAACTCCCCAGGACCGACGAGAGCGTGGGGAGGAGGGAGGACGGCCACTGACAGACGCCCACTGCTCACCGCCTGTCGTTGCGCTTATATCGAGAGCAATTTGTGCATGGGGGATGTACGTGAGTGGTCAAGTGAGTGCGAGTTGGTGCGTGTGGGTGGCTGCGGGAATAGGGCTGTGTGGGTGGGTGAGTGAGCGAATAGGGCTGTGTGGGTGGGTGAGTGAGCGAGCGAATAGGGCTGTGTGGGTGGGTGAGTGAGCGAGCGAATAGGGCTGTGTGGGTGGGTGAGTGAGCGAATAGGGTTGTGTGGGTGAGTGAGTGAATAGGGTTGTGTGGGCGAGTGAGTGAATAGGGCTGTCTGAGTGAGTGAGTGAATAGGGCTGTGTGGGTGAGCGAATAGGGCCGTGTGGGTGGCTAAGTGAATAAGGCTGTGTGGGTGAGTGAGTGAATAGGGCTGTGTGACGAGTGAGTGAGTGAATAGGGCTGTGTGGGTGAGTGAATAGGGCTGTGTGAGTGAGTGAATAGGGCTGTGTGAGTGAGTGAATAGGGCTGTATGAGTGAGTGAATAGGGCTGTGCGAGTGAGTGAATAGGGCTGTGTGAGTGAGCGAATAGGGCTGTGTGAGTGAGTGAATAAGGCGGTGTGGGTGAGTGAGTGAATAGGGCTGTGTGAGTGAGTGAATAGGGCTGTGTAAGTGAGTGAATAGGGCTGTGTGAGTGAGCGAATAGGGCTGTGTGAGTGAGCGAATAGGGCTGTGTGAGTGAGTGAATAAGGCGGTGTGGGTGAGTGAGTGAATAGGGCTGTGTGAGTGAGTGAATAGGGCTGTGTGAGTGAGTTAATAGGGCTGAGTGAATGAGTGAATAGGGCTGTGTGAGTGAATAGGGCTGTGTGAGTGAGTGAATAGGGCTGTGTGAGTGAGTGAATAGGGTTGTGTGAGTGAGTGAATAGGGCTGTGTGGGTGAGTGAATAGGGCTGTGTGAGTGAGTGAATAGGGCTGTGTGGCAGGTGCAGGAGCGGATATATTTTACGATTGTTCTGGTTAAGGGCATCTAGTCTGCTCTATTCATGCTAAATTTCCCCAGAACATTGTTAAAATGTAATTAAAATTTACATCAGTCATGTGAATGCGTGTTGGGGATTTAATAGCATTAATATATATGAATGTATGAGTGTGTGTGGAGGAGGTGTGTGTGTTTCGGGTGGGTGTGAGTATATGATTGACAATGCGTTTTTTTATGAATATGTGATGTATGTTAGGACGCCACTGGAGCTATGCGCTTCGCAATCGAGATTGAAAACTAATTTCTTTAGAACTACTTTTTGTGTTTAGTTTGTTGTCCTTTCCCCGCACCTCCAGTTAGCCACGGTTTGCTATGTACGGTGCAAAAGAAGTTCAACGTACCGTACATACTTACATACATGCTCACTAACACCACTTGCCCCAACAATCTGCGCAGGCTATGCGGGGGATCTTTGTGCATGCGCGTGAGCATGTGGGCACATCGGTGTTTAAGAGAACGAGCAAGATAACCCCTTGCCCTGCAATAAAAAATAAGAGACAACTCCACATATCTCTTCCATAGGGAAGGACGAAGGGTGGATGTCTGGATGGCGTCTTATTCAAATTTCTCCATGAAAACATTGGCTATCACTGGTGACAAGAGGGAACCCATAGGGGTACCCTCATTATTCATTGGTTAATTCGGTAAAGTCACGTATGTAGAAATACAATACATACGTGACTTTACCGAAAAAAACAATGAGTAATTTTATGCAGTCACGAAAGCTTTAATTACCTTATCGTACCCTCATTATGTTTGTAGAAGGTACCATTCCAGGTAAAATAAGTGTTGGTGAGGCAGTGCCTAACCAGCGCAGGTACATCAGGGTTCAGTCCATGTTGGACCAAATCTTCGTCCTTCCCTATGGAAGAGATATGTGGATGACACTTTCGTCATTTGGCCACATGGCCTTCCAGCATTGAACCATTTCCTAGACCATCCAAGATGGCAAGCTGCCATTCTTGGATGTTATGTTTGAGAGGAGGACTGATGGCTCTTTGGGACATTCTGTTTACAGGAAGTCCACCCACACAGACTCCTACTTGAAGCCTGATTCCCACCACCACCCGACTCAAAATAATTCTCTCATCAAAACATTATACCATAGGGCTCATTGCATTTCTGACTAACACCACCTGGCCAGTGAATTAAAACATGTACATCTGGCCCTCAAGATGAACGGATACTCTGACCGTATTATCCGCCAAGCTGTTTCTCCCACCATACAGAAACAACCACCTGATACTCCGATCAAAATCATCACGTTACCATACATAGCAGACGTTACCAAAAATATTTCCAAAATTCTAAACAAACACAAGATCCAGGTCCGGTTCAATACAGTACACAAAATCCGTGATCTGATCCCATCAGTTAAGGATGTCATTCCTGACTTACAGTACCCTGGTGTTTACAAATTGAGTTGTACCTGCGGTGACTGCTATATCGGGGAGACGAAACGACATATTTCTGACCGAATCTGCGAGCACAAATCAGATTTGAAACACGGCAGAACAAATTATTCGGCCGTGGCTGATCATTGTTTCAACACAGCGGGTTCTCATGACATTGTTTTCTCCGATACCAAAGTACTATGCAAACCTCCCGGTTATTACCAAAGATTTGTCCATGAAGCCATCCAGATATACAAACACAGACACACTTCAACCGAGAGGATGGTTTCAAATTGAGCAACCATTGGAAAGATGTTATAAACCAAGTCAAACTTTAGCTGCCTTATAATTGTACAGCCGTTGCCATTGCTCTCAGTGGGTTGAATGTACTCGTGCATCGCTTCCCCCGAACCCCCTGCAGCATAACAAAAGGCGTCTTAACTCAGCCCTCCCCCCACCCACGTCACTTCCTGGCTCCTCCCCCCCCCCTTAACCTGTATATAATCTCGGTTGTCTCAGAGCTCTCCACTTGATAGAGCTATTCTGCTGTGACTGTTCCACCTGAAGACGGAAGCTTGTGTTGCCTCCGAAACGTCGTGATTTAATTTAGTTGTTTTCATTTATTTTATTTTACCTACGTGACTTTACCGAAAAAACCAAAGAGTATGAATCCTTGCAGTCACGAAAGCTTCAAAATCTAGAACTGTACACTGCTATACACAGACTCTAGCTCTTCCTAAGGAATTCTCAGGCGTTCCCAGGCCAGCCGAGCGACATCGCCCCACCGCCAGCAGCGTGGTCCTGGGCCGGCCCTGGGGTCTTCGCCCAGCGGGACGTTGCTGCTGCTGCCCGGTAGAGTTCCAGGGGAAGTCTACCGGGGGGCATCCTTACCGGGTGCCCGAACCACACCCCAACCGGCTCCTCTTGATCCGGAGCAGCAGCGGCGGCTCGACTCTGAGGCTCTTCCGGATTACCGAGCTCCTCACCCGGTCACTGAGAGTGAGCCCGGCAAGGTAATGTATTGCGAGATTATTTTTTATATATTCTCAAGCGGCCTTCATCAGGCCGCTTGTGTTGTGGCCGAAACGTCGTGAGAATATTATTGTGTTATTTTATTTTATCAATTTATTATTTTATTATCATTCTACGTGACTTTACCGAAAGAACCAAAGAAGATGAATCATTGCAGTCACGAAAGCTTTAAATCGAAATTCTCAAGGATTTTAAGAATATTCTGGCTAAAAGAATTGCATTAATCGGAGCACAACTTGAAAAGTCAGGGACATTTTAAATGGACCGAGAGGTCAGTCTTCGGTATTCGTTACTCCGAACCTCTTCGGTGTCGCTACCTATTATTATCAATTTTAAATGTCTCCAGAACTTATTTCGCCATTCCAATTCAACTCAACTTCCAATATGTTGCAGGCAAAATCCCGTGTAGCCAGTTACCCAGCTAGCTTCGGTGGCAACTGCCCGCAGCAGCCACTAACAACAGAGTTGTTGTTGGGGTGGTGAGGAGCCCAGTCAGCAGCCAGCCAGCGACCTCGAGCCATCGATTATTGTTCAACAGTAGCAGTATGATGTTGAATATATAGTTGAATATATGCATACAAGAACAACAACAATAATAATACGTCATAATTTATATCCCTTTAGCAGTCGACTGCTGGGTGAATTCCTCCTACCCCCCCCAATCCGTATTGGCCACACAGGATGTTTTTTATACCATACTTCAGCATAAATAACGGTGTCTCGGTGTGTCCGTGCGTGTGTAGGGAAAGAGCGCTAATGGGTGCTCGTGTGCGGGCGAGTACCTCGAGTTATTGTCGGCGCGCTCTGCGCCTCTGACCAAAATCAATTAAGCGACGCTCTTGACGGGGACGCGAATGTCTACAATGTAGAAATCTATCATCCCATTCGCCCCGGTGAGGTGACATCAAGGATGGCCTTGTCGCTCGATTAGCGCCCTTCTTGTGTGGCGGGGTGGCGTGTTACCGGCACTTGATGTCGGATCGGCACATGAGGTTTGCGCGCAGCTTGGAGACCACGAGGCAGATGATCTTCACGAAGATGAAGAAGTTTACCTGGGAGGTCACGGGCAGAGGTCAACAACGTCAGTTACCTGGCCCCGCTCTGGGGCACAGGTGGGAGCCCCTCCCCTGGGGTTGAGCCCCTCCCCTGGAGTTCAGACCCTCCCCTGGGGCTGAGCCCCTCCCCTGGGGTTGAGCCACTCCCCTGGGGTTGAGCCCCTCCCCTGGGGTTGAGCCCCTCCCCTTAGGTTGAGCCCCTCCCCTGGGGTTGAGCCCCTCCCCTGGGGTTGAGCCCCTCCCCTGCGGTTGAGCCCCTCCCCTGGGGTTGAGCCCCTCCCCTGGGGCTGAGCCCCTCCCCTTAGGTTGAGCCCCTCCCCTTAGGTTGAGCCCCTCCCCCGGGGTTGAGCCCCTCCCCTGGGGTTGAGCCCCTCCCCTGGGGTTGAGCCCCTCCCCTGGGGTTGAACCCCTCCCCTGGGGCTGAGCCCCTCCCCTTAGGTTGAGCCCCTCCCCTGGGGTTGAGCCCCTCCCCTGGGGTTGAGCCCCTCCCCTGGGGTTGAGCCCCTCCCCTGGGGCTGAGCCCCTCCCCTGGGGCTGAGCCCCTCACCCTCACCGCGATGGCAGCGATGATGGGGAGGCGGATGATGAGCCAGTAGTTCATGTTGTAATTGCGGGTCCAGCACCTGGAAGGTTAACACAGGGTGATCAGTCATCCCGGATAAACACAGGGTGATCAGTAATCCCAGGTGAATGCAGGGTAATCAATAATTCCAGGTGAACACGGGGTAATCAATAATCCCAGGTGAACGCAGGGTAATCAATAATCCCAGGTGAACGTGGGGTGATCAGTAATCCCAGGTGAACGCGGGGTAATCAATAATCCCAGGTGAACGCTTGGTAATCAATAATCCCAGATGAACACGGGGTGATCAGTAATCCCAGGTGAATGCGGGGTGATCAATAATCCCAGGTGAACGCTTGGTAATCAATAATCCCAGGTGAACACGGGGTAATCAATAATCCCAGGTGAATGTTTGGTAATCAATAATCCCAGGTGAACGCGGGGTAATCAATAATCCCAGGTGAATGCGGGGTGATCAGTAATCCCAGGTGAACACGGGGTGATCAGTAATCCCAAGTGAACACGGGGTAATCAATAATCCCAGGTGAACGCGGGGTAATCAATAATCCCAGGTGAACACGGGGTAATCATTAATCCCAGGTGAACGCGGGGTAATCAATAATCCCAGGTGAACACGGGGTGATTAGTAATCCCAAGTGAACACGGGGTAATCAATAATCCCAGGTGAACGCGGGGTGATCAGTAATCCCAGGTGAACGCGGGGTAATCAATAATTCCAGGTGAACGCGAGGTAATCAATAATCCCAGGTGAACGCGGGGTAATCAATAATCCCAGGTGAACACGGGGGGATCAGTAATCCCAGGTGAATGCGGGGTAATCAATAATCCCAGGTGAACGCGGGGTGATCAGTAATCCCAGGTGAACGCGGGGTAATCAGTAATCCCAGGTGAACGTGGGGTAATCGGTAATCCCAGGTGAACACGGGGTAATTAGTAACCCCAGGTGAACGCGGGGTAATCAATAATCCCAGGTGAACGCGGGGTAATCAATAATCCCAGGTGAACACGGGATAATCAGTAATCCCAGGTGAAAACGGGGTAATCAATAATCCCAGGTGAACACGGAGTGATCAGTAATCCCAGGTGAACACGGGGTGATCAGTAATTCCAGGTGAATGCGGGGTGATCAGTAATCCCAGGTAAACGCGGGGTAATCAGTAATCCCAGGTGAACGCGGGGTAATCAGTAATCCCAGGTGAACGCGGGGTGATCAATAATCCCAGGTGAACACGGGGTAATCAATAATCCCAGGTGAACGCTTGGTAATCAATAATCCCAGGTGAACGCGGGGTAATCAATAATTCCAGGTGAACACGGGGTAATCAGTAATCCCAGGTGAACACGGGGTAATCAATAATCCCTGGTGAACACGGAGTGATCAGTAATCCCAGGTGAACACGGGGTAATCAGTAATCCCAGGTGAACGCGGGGTGATCAGTAATTCCAGGTGAACGCGGGGTGATCAGTAATCCCAGGTGAACGCGGGGTAATCAATAATCCCAGAAGAACGCGGGGTAATCAGTAATCCCAGGTGAACGCGGGGTAATCAGTAATCCCAGGTGAACTCGGGGTGATCAATAATCCCAGGTGAACACGGGGTAATCAATAATCCCAGGTGAACGGTTGGTAATCAATAATCCCAGGTGAACGCGGGGTTATCAATAATCCCAGGTGAATGTTGGGTAATCAATAATCCCAGGTGAATGCGGGGTAATCAATAATCCCAGGTGAATGCGGGGTGATCAGTAATCCCAGGTGAACGCGGGGTAATCAATAATCCCAAGTGAACGCGGGGTAGTCAATAATCCCAGGTGACCACGGGGTGATCAGTAATCCCAAGTGAACACGGGGTAATCAATAATCCCAGGTGATTGCGGGGTAATCAATAATCCCAGGTGAATGCGGGGTAATCAATAATCCCAGGTGAACGCAAGGTAATCAATAATCCCAGGTGAACACGGGGTGATCAGTAATCCCAGGTGAACGCGGGGTGATCAGTAATCCCAGGTGAACGCGGGGTAATCAGTAATCCCAGGTGAACGCGGGGTAATCAGTAATCCCAGGTGAACACGGGGTAATTAGTAATCCCAGGTGAACGCGGGGTAATCAATAATCCCAGGTGAACGCGGGGAATTCAATAATCCCAGGTGAAAACGGGGTAATCAGTAATCCCAGGTGAAAACGGGGTAATCAATAATCCCAGGTGAACACGGAGTGATCAGTAATCCCAGGTGAACACGGGGTAATCAATAATCCCAGATGAACGTGGGGTGATCAGTAATCCCAGGTGAACGCGGGGTAATCAGTAATCCCAGGTGAACGCGGGGTAATCAGTAATCCCAGGTGAACACGGGGTAATTAGTAATCCCAGGTGAACGCGGGGTAATCAATAATCCCAGGTGAACGCGGGGTAATCAATAATCCCAGGTGAACACGGGGTAATCAGTAATCCCAGGTGAACACGGGGTAATCAATAATCCCAGGTGAACACGGAGTGATCAGTAATCCCAGGTGAACACGGGGTAATCAGTAATCCCAGGTGAACGCGGGGTGATCAGTAATTCCAGGTGAACGCGGGGTGATCAGTAATCCCAGGTGAACGTGGGGTAATCAATAATCCCAGAAGAACGCGGGGTAATCAGTAATCCCAGGTGAACGCGGGGTAATCAGTAATCCCAGGTGAACGCGGGGTGATCAGTAATCCCAGGTGAACGCGGGGTAATCAGTAATCCCAGGTAAACGCAGGGTGATCAGTAATCCCAGGTGAACACGGGGTGATCAGTAATCCCAGGTGAACGCGGGGTAATCAGTAATCCCAGGTGAACGGTTGGTAATCAATAATCCCAGGTGAACGCGGGGTAATCAATAATCCCAGGTGAATGTTTGGTAATCAATAATCCCAGGTGAATGCGGGGTAATCAATAATCCCAGGTGAATGCGGGGTGATCAGTAATCCCAGGTGAACGCGGGGTAATAAATAATCCCAAGTGAACGCGGGGTAGTCAATAATCCCAGGTGACCACGGGGTGATCAGTAATCCCAAGTGAACACGGGGTAATCAATAATCCCAGGTGATTGCGGGGTAATCAATAATCCCAGGTGAATGCGGGGTAATCAATAATCCCAGGTGAACGCAAGGTAATCAATAATCCCAGGTGAACACGGGGTGATCAGTAATCCCAGGTGAACACGGGGTGATCAGTAATCCCAGGTGAACGCGGGGTAATCAGTAATCCCAGGTGAACGCGGGGTAATCAGTAATCCCAGGTGAACACGGGGTAATTAGTAATCCCAGGTGAACGCGGGGTAATCAATAATCCTAGGTGAACGCGGGGAATTCAATAATCCCAGGTGAACACGGGGTAATCAGTAATCCCAGGTGAAAACGGGGTAATCAATAATCCCAGGTGAACACGGAGTGATCAGTAATCCCAGGTGAACACGGGGTAATCAATAATCCCAGATGAACGTGGGGTGATCAGTAATCCCAGGTGAACGCGGGGTAATCAGTAATCCCAGGTGAACGCGGGGTAATCAGTAATCCCAGGTGAACACGGGGTAATTAGTAATCCCAGGTGAACGTGGGGTAATCAATAATCCCAGGTGAACGCGGGGTAATCAATAATCCCAGGTGAACACGGGGTAATCAGTAATCCCAGGTGAACACGGGGTAATCAATAATCCCAGGTGAACACGGAGTGATCAGTAATCCCAGGTGAACACGGGGTAATCAGTAATCCCAGGTGAACACGGGGTGATCAGTAATTCCAGGTGAACGCGGGGTGATCAGTAATCCCAGGTGAACGCGGGGTAATCAATAATCCCAGGTGAACGCGGGGTAATCAGTAATCCCAGGTGAACGCGGGGTAATCAGTAATCCCAGGTGAACGCGGGGTGATCAATAATCCCAGGTGAACGCCGGGTAATCAGTAATCCCAGGCGAACGCAGGGTGATCAGTAATCCCAGGTGAACACGGGGTGATCAGTAATCCCAGGCGAACGCGGGGTAATCAGTAATCCCAGGTGAACGCGGGGTGATCAGTAATCCCAGGTGAACGCGGGGTAATCAATAATCCCAGAAGAACGCGGGGTAATCAGTAATCCCAGGTGAACGCGGGGTAATCAGTAATCCCAGGTGAACGCGGGGTGATCAGTAATCCCAGGTGAACGCCGGGTAATCAGTAATCCCAGGTGAACGCAGGGTGATCAGTAATCCCAGGTGAACACGGGGTGATCAGTAATCCCAGGCGAACGCGGGGTAATCAGTAATCCCAGGTGAACGTGGGGTAATCAGTAATCCCAGGTGAACACGGGGTAATTAGTAATCCCAGGTGAACGTGGGGTAATCAATAATCCCAGGTGAACGCGGGGTAATAAGTAATCCCAGGTGAACGCAGGGTAATCAATAATCCCAGGTGAACGCAGGGTGATCAGTAATCCCAGGTGAACACGGGGTAATCAGTAATCCTAGGTGAACGCGGGGTGATCAGTAATTCCAGGTGAACGCGTGGTGATCAGTAATCCCAGGTGAACGCGGGGTAATCAATAATCCCAGAAGAACGCGGGGTAATCAGTAATCCCAGGTGAACGCGGGGTAATTAGTAATCCCATGTGAACGCGGGGTGATCAGTAATCCCAGGTGAACGCGGGGTAATCAGTAATCCCAGGTGAACGCGGGGTAATCAGTAATCCCAGGTGAACGCGGGGTAATCAATAATCCCAGGTGAACGCGGGGTGATCAGTAATCCCAGGTGAACACGGGGTAATCAGTAATCCCAGGTGAACACGGGGTGATCAATAATCCCAGGTGAACGTGGGGTGATCAGTAATCCGAGGTGAACGCGGGGTGATCAGTAATCCCAGGTGAACACGGGGTAATCAATAATTCCAGGTTAACGTGGGGTAATCAGTAATCCCAGATGAACGCGGGTTAATCAGTAATACCAGGTGAACGCAGGGTAATCAATAATTCCAGGTGAACGCGGGGTGATCAGTAATCCCAGGTGAACACGGGGTAATCCGTAATCCCAGGTGAGCGCGGGGTAATCAATAAATCCAGGTGAACACGGAGTAATCAGTAATCCCAGGTGAACGCGGGGTAATCAGTAGTCCCACGTGAACGCGGGGTAATCAATAATCCCAGGTAAACACGGGGTAATCAATAATCCCAGGTGAACACGGGGTAATCAGTAATCCCAGGTGAACACGGGGTAATCAGTAATCACAGGTGAACGCAAGGTAATCAATAATCCCAGGTGAACGCGGGGTATCAGTAGTCCCAGGTGAATACGGGGTAATCAGTAATCCCAGGTGAACGCCGGGTAATCAATAATCCCAGGTAAACGCGGGGTAATCAATAATCCCAGGCGAAGCAATTCAGTGGCACGCTCGTGGCGTGGGCAAAAGCCACGGATGCTGGGTAATGATGGACCTGTGATTAAGGTACCAAGGGTTGCCATGGCGACCCGAAATCTTAATTAATTGCTGTCGATGCGCGCTAATCACGGCATCAGCAGTGGAAGGGTCGAGACGAGACGACGTCTCCCCCCCACCCCCACCGCAGGCATGGAGATGTGGTTGCGTGTGCAAGTTAATTGTTTAATTGTGTGCCAAACACTCGCATTCGCCAGGGGGCGGGGCCAATCACGGGGTGAGGGCAGTAGGGGAAGGGGGCAGCTGGAGGCAGAGAGCAACGGGGGGAGGGGGGGGCAGCAGGGGGTGAGGATGCAGTGGGGGGTGAGAGCAGTAGGGGGCACTAGGAGGCCAGCACCCGTACCCCACGTTCTCGTTCAGTTGCTTCACCACCACCCATGGCACCACGAACAGCACGGGGGCTCCTGGGGGACGGGTGGAAGGGAGGGGGGGGGGCGGGGGAAGAGGGGAGGGGCGAGTGGGGGAGGGGCGAGTGGGGGAGGGGTGAGCGGTGTCACCGGTGGTTATTCGGTGACACGGAAAGGTCAAGTCGAGGTCATTGGCCATGATGCTGCCATGTCACGAGCAGTAGCGAGCATCACAAACATCAGCATCACATCAGCAGCATGTTTGCGCTTACACGGCGCTTGTTTAAATTCCTCAGCAGCTGCAAGCGCCTCGCGCCTCGTCTCATCTCAGACAAATCAAAGGGGCACCCCCAGTGGCAGCTGCCCCCCGCGCACCTCTGCGAAAAAAAGCAGCGACTGCACTGCTGTACCACTTGATGATGGTGGCGATGATGATGATGATGATGACGATGACGATCTTGGTATTGGTAATGTTTTTGACGGCGTCATTATTTGTAACGGTGAGTGACGGTGTTTCGTTTAATGTTCGATGAAGCGGGGACCCTGTCGGGTGGGGGCTTCCGCCGATGTCTATCCCCGCATCGACCAGACGCGGCGCGCAGAGGGAGAGAGAGAGAGAAATCGGATTAAGTCGCAGATACTACAGAGTAAAAGACAATCCTCGGATCATGCGGCACTAATGAGATAATGCGTGGGTAAGCCTTTCAGTCAACTCACAATAACCCAGTCCCGCCCTCCTCTGGGCTCCAGCCCCTCCCCTCATCTGGACTCCAGCCCCTCACCCCTCATCTGGGCTCCAGCCCCTCCCCCCTCATCTGGGCACCAGCCCCTCCCCCCTCATCTGGGCTCCAGCCCCTCCCCTATCTCTTCCAGGATCCCCCGTGCCATGCACGTAATTAAGATTTTTGTCGTTGTTCACGCACGTTATTGTAATCTAAATTACACAACAACGCAGTAATTGGGAATTAAATTACAATAGTCCTGTAATTTTGTAATTCGAATGCACGGAGTGATCTGTCGACATAATTCCCAACTCAAAAAATGCAGAGAAATTCACCGTGAGTGATGTGCATTATCAATGTTCTAGAGGAGCTAGAGCGTGAGTGACGTGGATTATCAATGTTCTAGAGGGGCTAGAGAGTGAGTGATGTGGATTATCAATGTTCTAGAGGGTCTAGAGAGTGAGTGATGTGGGTTATCAATGTTCTAGAGGGGCTAGAGAATGAGTGATGTGGATTATCAATGTTCTAGAGGAGCTAGAGAGTGAGTGATGTGGATTATTAATGTTCTAGAGGAGCTAGAGCGTGAGTGACGTGGATTATCAATGTTCTAAAGGGGCTAGAGAGTGAGTGATGTGGATTATCAATGTTCTAGAGGGTCTAGAGAGTGAGTGATGTGGGTTATCAATGTTCTAGAGGGGCTAGAGAATGAGTGATGTGGATTATCAATGTTCTAGAGGAGCTAGAGAGTGAGTGATGTGGATTATTAATGTTCTAGAGGGGCTAGAGAGTGAGTGATGTGGATTATCAATGTTCTAGAGGGGCTAGAGAGTGAGTGATGTGGATTATCAATGTTCTAGAGGGGCTAGAGAGTGAGTGATGTGGGTTATCAATGTTCTAGAGGGGCTAGAGAGTGAGTGATGTGGATTATCAATGTTCTAGAGGGGCTAGAGAGTGACGTGGATTATCAATGTTCAAGAGGGGCTAGAGAGTGAGTGATGTGGATTATCAATGTTCTAGAGGGGCTAGAGAGTGAGTGATATGGATTATCAATGTTCTAGAAGGGCTAGAGAGTGACGTGGATTATCAATGTTCAAGAGGGGCTAGAGAGTGAGTGATGTGGATTATCAATGTTCTAGAGGGGCTAGAGAGTGAGTGATATGGATTATCAATGTTCTAGAGGGGCTAGAGAGTGAGTGGTGTGGATTATCAATGTTCTAGAGGGGCTAGAGAGTGAGTGGTGTGGATTATCAATGTTCTAGAGGGGCTAGAGAGTGAGTGGTGTGGATTATCAATGTTCTAGAGGGGCTAGAGAGTGAGTGATGTGGATTATCACTGTTCTAGAGGGGCTAGACAGTGAGTGATGTGGATTATCAATGTTCTAGAGGGGGTAGAGAGTGAGTGGTGTGGATTATCACTGTTCTAGAGGGGCTAGAGAGTGAGTGATGTGGATTATCAATGTTCTAGAGGGGCTAGACAGTGAGTGATGTGGATTATTAATGTTCTAGAGGGGCTAGAGAGTGACGTGGATTATCAATGTTCTAGAGGGGCTAGACAGTGAGTGATGTGGATTATCAATGTTCTGGAGGGGGTAGAGAGTGAGTTATGTGGATTATCAATGTTCTAGAGTGGCTAGACAGTGAGTGATGTGGATTATCAATGTTCTAGAGGAGCTAGAGCGTGAGTGACGTGGATTATCAATGTTCTAGAGGGGGTAGAGAGTGAGTGGTGTGGATTATCAATGTTCTAGAGGGGCTAGAGAGTGAGTGATGTGGATTATCACTGTTCTAGAGGGGCTAGACAGTGAGTGATGTGGATTATCAATGTTCTAGAGGGGGTAGAGAGTGAGTGGTGTGGATTATCACTGTTCTAGAGGGGCTAGAGAGTGAGTGATGTGGATTATCAATGTTCTAGAGGGGCTAGACAGTGAGTGATGTGGATTATTAATGTTCTAGAGGGGCTAGAGAGTGACGTGGATTATCAATGTTCTAGAGGGGCTAGACAGTGAGTGATGTGGATTATCAATGTTTTGGAGGGGGTAGAGAGTGAGTTATGTGGATTATCAATGTTCTAGAGTGGCTAGACAGTGAGTGATGTGGATTATCAATGTTCTAGAGGAGCTAGAGCGTGAGTGACGTGGATTATCAATGTTCTAGAGGGGCTAGACAGTGAGTGACATGGATTATCAATGTTCTAGAGGGGGTAGAGAGTGAGTGGTGTGGATTATCAATGGTCTAGAAAGGCGGGAGAGGGAGTGATGTGGATTATCACTGTTCTAGAGGGGCTAGAGAGTGAGTGATGTGGATTATCACTGTTCTAGAGGGGCTAGAGAGTGAGTGACGTGGATTATCAATGTTCTAGAGTGGCTAGACAGTGAGTGATGTGGATTATCAATGTTCTAGAGGGACTAGAGAGTGAGTGATGTGGATTATCAATGTTCTAGAGGGGCTAGAGAGTGAGTGACATGGATTATCAATGTTCTAGAGGGGCTAGAGAGTGAGTGATGTGGATTATCACTGTTCTAGAGGGGCTAGAGAGTGAGTGACGTGGATTATCAATGTTCTAGAGTGGCTAGACAGTGAGTGATGTGGATTATCAATGTTCTAGAGGGACTAGAGAGTGAGTGATGTGGATTATCAATGTTCTAGAGGGGCTAGAGAGTGAGTGACATGGATTATCAATGTTCTAGAGGGGCTAGACAGTGAGTGATGTGGATTATCACTGTTCTAGAGGGGCTAGAGAGTGAGTTATGTGGATTATCAATGTTCTAGAGGGGCTAGAGAGTGAGTGACATGGATTATCAATGTTCTAGAGGGGCTAGAGAGTGAGTAATGAGGATTATCAATGTTTGAGAAGGGCTAGAGAGTGAGTGATATGGATTATCAATGTTCTAGAGGGGCTAGAGAGTGAGTGACATGGATTATCAATGTTCTAGAGGGGGTAGAGAGTGAGTGGTGTGGATTATCAATGTTCTAGAGGGCTAGAGAGAGAGTGACGTGGATTATCAATGTTCTAGAGCGGCTAGAGAGTGAGTGACGTGGATTATCAATGTTCTATAAGGGTTAGAGAGTGAGTGATGTGGATTATCAACGTTCTCGAGGGGCTAGAGAGTGAGTGATGTAGGTTATCAATGTTCTAGAGGGGCTGGAGAGTGAGTGATATGGATTATCAATGTTCTAGTGGGGCTAGAGAGAGAGTGATGTGGATTATCACTGTTCTAGAGGGGCTAGAGAGTGAGTGACGTGGATTATCAATGTTCTAGAGGGGCTAGAGAGTGAGTGGTGTGGATTATCAATGTTCTAGAGGGGCTAGAGAGTGAGTGATATGGATTATCAATGTTCTAGAGGGACTAGAGAGTGAGTGGTGTGGATTAGCAATGTTCTAGAGGGGGTAGAGAGTGAGTGGTGTGGATTAGCAATGTTCTAGAAGGGCTAGAGAGTGAGTGGTGTGGATTAGCAATGTTCTAGAGGGGGTAGAGAGTGAGTAATGTAGGTTATCAATGTTCTAGAGGGGGTAGAGAGTGAATGATGTGGATTATCAATGTTCTAGAGGGGCTAGAGAGAGAGTGACGTGGATTATCAATGTTCTAGAGGGGCTAGAGAGTGAGTGACGTGGATTATCAATGTTCTATAAGGGTTAGAGAGTGAGTGATGTGGATTATCAACGTTCTCGAGGGGCTAGAGAGTGAGTGATGTAGGTTATCAATGTTCTAGAGGGGCTGGAGAGTGAGTGATATGGATTATCAATGTTCTAGTGGGGCTAGAGAGAGAGTGATGTGGATTATCACTGTTCTAGAGGGGCTAGAGAGTGAGTGACGTGGATTATCAATGTTCTAGAGGGGCTAGAGAGTGAGTGGTGTGGATTATCAATGTTCTAGAGGGGCTAGAGAGTGAGTGATATGGATTATCAATGTTCTAGAGGGACTAGAGAGTGAGTGGTGTGGATTAGCAATGTTCTAGAGGGGGTAGAGAGTGAGTGGTGTGGATTAGCAATGTTCTAGAAGGGCTAGAGAGTGAGTGGTGTGGATTAGCAATGTTCTAGAGGGGGTAGAGAGTGAGTAATGTGGGTTATCAATGTTCTAAAGGGGGTAGAGAGTGAGTGATGTGGATTATCAATGTTCTACAGGGGCTAGAGAGTGATGTGGATTATTAATGTTCAGAAGGGCTAGAGAGTGAATGATTTAAAGTATAATGACGCTATTCCTTGCCTCTACACGCATCCAACCAATCCAAATGACACTGATTACATCTCTCACAAAGACACGGGGCCGCCCCCTTTAACGATGTCCTATCAGCTTGCTGTGAAGAAGCTAAGTGATGCATTATCTAAACACACACACACCGTGTAACCAGCATTGGCCAAACATCACAACGCTGACAAATTACCCGCAAATCACTCAATTGGGATTGCCCACAGCAGCAACCTCGTCCCCTCCCACGAAAAACTTGGCAGGACCCTCCTGAAAAACCGTTGAGGCTCAGCGATGCATTCCCGGTTAAACGCGCGAAATACGCACGGCGATTACAATACGTCTGCACTGAGAAGACATCAGCGGGGTATCTATACACGGATCAAATTTAATTTGAAGCTTTCGAGCCTGATAAATTTTAGAGAGAGAAATAGGCAGCTTGAGTGTCTGTTGTGTGTCTCTCTGTGTGTCTCTGTGTTGTCTCTCTCTGTTTGTGTGTCTGCCTGTGTGTCTCCGTGTCTGTGTTTTGTCTCTCTCTCAAATGTAGTTCTACCTGATGACGGTTGCTTGTGTTGCAATCGAAACGTCGTACTCTATTATTTAATTTATTTTCTTTCTACGTGACTTTACCGAAAGAACCAAAGAGTATACACGGATTGCTCTGCATTTTACGCACTTATGTAGCCCTTGGATCTTCCTGGAGCACTTGAAGTTTCCTAGGCTTTACCGATATTCCTGGAGCACCTGGAGCGTCCTATTATATACCGATATTCCTGGAGCACTTGGAGCTTCCTAGGATGTCCGGATATTCCTGAAGCTTCCTAAAACATTTCAATCTTCCTGGAGTACGTGGTACTTCCTAGAATATCCGGATCTCCCTGGAGCACCTAAAGCTTCCTAGAATATCCTGATCTGCCTGGAACTTCATGGAGTTTCATCGATATGCCTGGAACACATGCAAGTCAGTAGAATATCCAGATCCTCCTGGATCGCCTGGAGCTTCCTCGGATATCTAGACCCACCGGAAGCTTCGTGGAGCCCCCGGGAGCTCCCCACCCCTCTCCCCCCCCCCCCCCCCCACCCGGAGCTGTGACCTCTCACCCCAGCCGATAGCGACGTAGGCCTTGAAGGAGCGGCGCTCGGAGAAAACGGCGAGTGCGAGCAGCGTGTGGAGGTAGACGCCCTCCACCAGAAGCCAGTAGTAGTTAGCGGCCACGCAGTACTGCATGAGCACAAACACCGCCTTGCAGGCCGCAGACTCCTGGGCCACGGGGTCACGGGGAAGAGGGGTCACGGAGTATAGGTCACAGGGTCACGGGGGGAGAGGTCACGGGGTCGCGGAGAAGGGGTTCCGGTGAGGGGTCGCGGTGTCCTGGAAGAGAAGGGTCACGGGGTCGCGGAGAGAGGTCAGGGGGTTGCAGAGAGGGGTCGCGGAGTAGCAGAGGGGTCCCTGGGAAATGGGGGAGAGGTCACTGAGTCGTAGAGCGGGGTCACGAAGATAGATCACAGCAGGAGGCGACAGGTAACAGTTTTTAGATCATCGCGAGAGGTGACAAGGGAGCAAAGATGTCACGATCGTGGGGTCACAATTAGAAGTCACAGTGAGAGGTGATACAGACTGCACCGGATCGCGTCAGATATGCTAGAGGGTTGGGCGTGCTGTGGAGTAAAGGTGAGGGGTGAATGTGTGGGGCGAGGGATGATTGTGCGCACAGCGAGTCCACACCTGGTGAGCGAGCACTTCATCCCAGGCGCCCGTGTCGCTGTCGGAGGCGTAGATGCTGCGCAGGACAGCGTCCTTCACCAGGATGGAGATGGCGCGGAGGATGAAGGAGAGGAACAGATTCAGGTGGATGTAATTCCTCGTGCAGTGCAGCCTCCTATGCTCGCACACAACACACAAAGGCAACGATAAACGTTCCGCCCCCTTGTAGCCTTCACAGAACGCTGGGCCAAGCGATGTTAGCGGTGGGTTACTAACACAAGTCAGAGGCGCCTGATGTATTTTAGGCTGAGTCGACCTAGGGGAGGCCCAGTCTTCTTCCATCCCTTCGCTCTCAACGCTGCTGCTGTTGCTGTCCACCTCCCCTTCTTATCTCGACCCTGCCTCGTGACCCTGCAAATCCATCCTGAGGGTCGTCCCAAATTGGGTCATCTACTCCCACGTCTCCAAAGGAGGCCCCTCCCTCCGTGGCAGAGGGGGACCCCAGTTTCAATGTGAGGACACGTGGCGAGGCACGCGGAGATGGAGGGAGACCACAAGAGGGAGATGTGGGAAGACGCGGGGAGGCGCGGGGAGATTTTGGGGAGATGCAACGGAGACGTAGGGAGAAGTGGGGAGGTGCGCAGAGACTGGGGAAATGCGGGGAGATGCGGCGAGACACACGGGAGGTTTAGGGAGACGTGACATGTTGCGAGATACGGGGAGACGCGGGAAAGCGCAGGCAGATGCGGGGAGATGCAGGGCGATGTGGGGAGAAGTAGGGAGACGCGGGAGATGCGGGGAGCTACCGGAAGAGCAGGAGGATGGCAGAGGCGAGCAGCAGAGCGGCGAGGGAGAGCGAGTGGCCGACCGTGTAGACAGCGTGGATCAGGGACAGCAGCTCCCGGGGCTCCTCCTGCAGCTCAGCAAACAGTACATAGCGTACACCTATAGCGTACACCCATAGCGTACACCCATAGCGTACACTTATAGTGTACACGCATAGCGTGCACCTATTGCGTACACCTATCGCATACACGCATAGCGTACACCTATAACGTACACGCATAGTGTACACCTATAGCGTACACTTATAGTGTACACGCATAGTGTACACCTATTGTATACACCTATTGCGTACACCATTAGCGTAAACCTATAGCGTACATGCATAGCATACACCTATAACGTACACGCATCGTGTACACCTATAGCGTACACCTATCGCGTACACGCCTAGTGTACACCTATAGTGTACAAGCATAGCGTACACCCATAGCGAACACGCAGAGCGTACACCCATAACGTACCCACATAGCGTACACCCATAGCGTACACCCATAGCGTACACCCATAGCGTATTCCCATAGCTTACACCTATAGCATACACCCATTGTGTACACCTATAGAGTACACCCATAGTGTACACCTATAGCATACACCTATAGTATACACCACATATCACACACCTATAGTATACAGCACGTAGCATTTCCCCGAAAATCACGATGATGAACCCAAAGCGCTGGCCTATTGACGAAGCAGAGACGGCGGTACCATTGACATTCCCTGCACCTCTGCTGCAGTTGACGGACAGCGAATATGGCGTCCGTGCAGGACCACCCTCAGCATGCCTGGCCAGGCGACGTTGCATCATTTCTTGCCAAGACCTTTCCCAGCACGCTGGGGAAAATGAGTGCGGTGCCCCTCCAGGGCGTCCTTTCCATTCCTGCGGAAGTGGTCCCGTGGACCGGACAGTCGTGATGGTCTCACAAAGGGGGCGGAATGCGTGCAAACGTCGCCCTCGGTTTGAAGCTCTGGACCGCCCCTTCGCACTTCCCCAACAGGTGGCAAAATCAGCCAACCGCTCACAAGCGGCAGCTATTTCCTCCAATATTTGAGGCACAGCAAGCATGAGCAGGGTCAACCTCACCTGGCCTGGTGATGCAGTTTGAGCTGAGGGGTTTCCCCCTCCGACCCCCCCCCCCACCCAAGACCTCGCAGAAACGCTCAGCATACAGTGAGGGAAAAAAGTATTTGATCCCCTGCTGATTTTGTACGTTTGCCTACTAACAAAGAAATGATCAGTCTATAATTTTAATGGTAGGTTTATTTGAACAGTGAGAGACAGAATAACAACAACTAAATCCAGAAAAACGCATGTCAAAAATGCTATAAATTGATTTGCATTTTAATGAGGGAAATAAGTATTTGACCCCTCTGCAAAACATGACTTAGTACTTGGTGACAAAACCCCTGTTGGCAATCACAGAGGTCAGACGTTTCTTGTAGTTGGCCACCAGGTTTGCACACATCTCAGGAGGGATTTTGTCCCACTCTTCTTTGCAGATCTTCTCCAAGTCATTAAGGTTTCGAGGCTGACGTTTGGCAACTCGAACCTTCAGCTCCGTCCACAGATTTTCTATGAGATTAGGGTCTGGAGACTGGCTAGGCCACTCCAGGACCTTAATGTGCTTTTTCTTGAGCCACTCCTTTGTTGCCTTGGCCGTGTGTTTTGGGTCATTGTCATGCTGGAATACCCATCCACGACCCATTTTCAATGTCCTGGCTGAGGGAAGGAGGTTCTCACCCAAGATTTGATGGTACATGGCCCCGTCCATCTTCCCTTTGATGCGGTGAAGTTGTCCTGTCCCCTTAGCAGAAAAACACCCCCAAAGCATAATGTTTCCACCTCCATGTTTGACGGTGGGGATGGTGTTCTTGGGGTCATAGGCAGCATTCCTCCTCCTCCAAACACGGCGAGTTGAGTTGATGCCAAAGAGCTCCATTTTGGTCTCATCTGACCACAACACTTTCACCCAGTTGTCCTCTGAATCATTCAGATGTTCATTGGCAAACTTCAGACGGGCATGTATATGTGCTTTCTTGAGCAGAGGGACCTTGCGGGCGCTGCAGCATTTCAGTCCTTCACGGCGTAGTGTGTTACCAATTGTTTTCTTGGTGACTATGGTCCCAACTGCCTTGAGATCATTGACAAGATCCTCCCGTGTAGTTCTGGGCTGATTCCTCACCGTTCTCATGATCATTGCAACTCCACGAGGTGAGATCTTGCATAGAGCCCCAGGCCGAGGGAGATTGACAGTTCTTTTGTGTTTCTTCCATTTGCGAATAATCGCACCAACTGTTGTCACCTTCTCACCAAGCTGCTTGGCAATGGTCCTGTAGCCCATTCCAGCCTTGTGTAGGTCTACAATATTGTCCCTGACATCCTTGGAGAGCTCTTTGGTCTTGGCCATGGAGGAGAGTTTGGAATCTGATTGATTGATTGATTGCTTCTGTGGACAGGTGCCTTTTATACAGGTAACAAGCTGAGATTAGGAGCACTCCCTTTAAGAGTGTGCTCCTAATCTCAGCTCGTTACCTGTATAAAAGACACCTGGGAGCCAGAAATCTTTCTGATTGAGAGGGGGTCAAATACTTATTTCCCTCATTAAAATGCAAATCAATTTATAACATTTTTGACATGCGTTTTTCTGGATTTCTTATTGTTATTCTGTCTCTCACTGTTCAAATAAACCTACCATTAAAATTATAGACTGGTAATTTCTTCGTCAGTGGGCAAACGTACAAAATCAGCAGGGGATCAAATACTTTTTCTCTCACTGTACATGCGAACCTGTTCTTGGCGGTCGGAGATAGGATTACCATTCTTTCCCTTAAGGGTGGTAATGTGTGCGGTGCTGCGGGTTACCGTTTTAACGGAATTAAAGAGCGATTTTAGATTGCAGCTTCCATCTCCTCAGCACACACTCAGCGTGTACGCGTGTGCCGCCCTTCCCGGGTGCTACTCGCTAACAGCACTTGCCCCTGCGGTCTGCTAAGGCTTACGGGGCATTTTTTTGTCTATGTTACAGACGGAGTCTGATTGGTCGGTTCCGGTCCCTCTGGAGGACCAGCGTGGTGACGTCGACACACGTGACCGGTTGGCTGTGGAATGTTTTTTTTGTGGAACGGGGAAAAGCTGTGCCTGTGAATCGGCCGTAATTCTGGAAACGCCGGAATGCCACAGAATTCCGCAACAGCGTGAACACGAAACTGTCCACGGATCGCGAAGCAAGGGAGAGAGAGATGGGGGTGGGGGGGGAGGAGATGATGAAATGGGGGAGCGTGAGTGGGAGGGCAGGGGGACACGGCTAAAGCAGAGCGGGTGGATGGAGGAGCAGAGAAAGTTTTTTTTTACTTTTAACAGATTACGATATATTTTGTTGAGCTAAATCTTTGGGATGGAGGGACATCTCGGGTTTGCAGCGGTGTCCAGACGGTGTCCAGACGGTGTCCATTGACACGCGGCATCGCGGACACGTCAAGATAGCACACCTGTAACCTACACATCCTTGTGCTGCTGCTGCTGCCTAAACAATACGGCCACAAATCAGAGTAATTTGTTAGTTGGTGGTCTAGGCAAGGCTGTGCGCATTACACGCCCAGCGTGCAGGGCAGGGCTGACCCAATCACACCGTCACCTCTGCCCGTCTAGAAATCACCTTCTGTCGTGTACCGCTACTCGAGAGACGATTGGAGCCCTTATTGTATTCCAGTCTGCTGCGGGCACTTCTCTATCTGATGAGTTTAACATTGTTTATGGAAATAAAATGTGTTAGAAGGGAAGAGGCAATGGAGTGGAATGTAAGGGTGGGAGGGAAGCGCTGAGAGGGGGGTAGAGGGGGGGTGTAGTTCGTGGGAGTGAGGGAGGCAGGTGACAGGAATATGGTCGTGAAAGAGAGTAATGGGGACACTTGCGGGGTTGGCGAGAGAGGCGAGGGCGAGAGTCGAGGTGAATATGGGGGAAATGACGAGAACATGGAGCTAGGAAAGTGGAAGGTGACAGGAATAAGAGCGTCGGACACATGGGGTGATGGGAACACGTGGGGAGGGTGGGGGTGGGGGGAAAGACGAGGGGAGGAAGACGAGGAGGAGACGTTGGTGGGAAAGTTAGAGAGAGCAGGAGAGCCAAAAGGAGCGGTCACTGTTCTTTACGATTCATGAGTTCCTGAGGAGTTTGGTGGAAAAAAGAACAAAAACGAGCATAAGCCGGAGAGAAACGGGACCAGTGCCCAGTGCCGCGTCGAATTTACAGCATCTTGATTAACAAGGGCCTACGTGTGTCAGTGAAATTTACACTCGCGCATGCACGCACACACACAAACACCGCGTACCATGCACCACGTGCCACACGTGTGCACGCACACACACGAACACCGCGTAACACGCACCACGTGCCACACGCGCGCACGCACACACACGAACACCGCGTACCACGCACCACGTGCCACACGCGTGCACGCACAATGTGCCCAGAGCGCACACCACACGTCCATGTAGCGTACAGCGATGGCAGTCGGCGTCACCGCGGTGACTCGTGCCAGGCTATGTGCACTTTGAGGCCATGTAAAGTGTGGAGGGCTCGCGGGCGGGGCAGGCCCTGGTGTTACGGGTTAACTGACTGACGTGACTGGCGAATTCCCAAAACAAAAACAAAGATCCCTCGTGTAGCCATAACAAGCCGGTGGGGCAAGTGCTGTCCGTGAGCACCTACAAAGGTGGGCAGGGCACACGAGGGGGTGGGTGGTATTTGTCTCCCCCAGTGGCGATGTTAACACACCACAGCAGGTACTCATTTGAGGCTGAGTCGACGTAGGGGAGGCCCAGGACCGGTTCAGATAATCGTCACTGGTGTTGGCCGTGAGCGGGAATCGAACCCGGGTCGCCGGGTTCAGAGCGCAGCGCGCGAACTGCTACTTCACCGCTCCCCAACAACAACAACAACAACCGCCATTCGCCACTAAGTGGCGGTGACGTCACCACGACGCTTGTGCCAGGCTATGTGCACCCTGAGGCCACGTGAAGTGTCGAACGCCCGCTGGCAGGAGGTCACGGGGCAGACCCAGGTGCCAC